GAACTGCACAACGCACGGTTGACCCTGGTGGTAGGAATGTGTAGCGTCGCGAACGTCGCTGGTATACCTATGCTAGGCCGCTGGGTGAACACCCTTCGCTGCTTAATACGCTTCATCTCGACCTCTGACCTTATAGTGGAATCCTCCTTTGAATCAAGCCCCGAGACAAAGGGCATGTAAAAGCGTTAGATGATGAAGCTGGAGGTGGAAAGCATTCTGGGATTGTGAAGCAAAGCAAAAATTTCACAGCGATTACGATAAGAACAGGGCCCTCACTTTTTCAGCCGCATCCAACCTTGGGATGGAGGAGGAACGTGTTTGAATGAGTTCGACGGAGGACTAGCTCCAGTTACTCCAGTGTCAACGAGACTGAATGCAACGCCAGCACTGCCGTAACAGGGACCGAGCTCCTTTCGCAGCGCCAACGTGCCAGCCAGGTGTGTAGATTGTGTGGATTGCGGGTCGAGCAAACCTCAGGCGCCTTTGTTGCGCCCTTCCAAGCTGCGAAGGGAGAGCGACATCAACGCTTGTCCACCATCGCGGATGGAACAGGTGAGCAAACCTTATCCCGGACCGTGCCTTTAACCACTGAGAGACGACAGTTCAATCCGGGTCGATTGGCCAATTCCACAATCGAAATAAGAGGTCATTCCAATCGAAATCGCAGAGAAGGGTTGTGAGAAACTGGTGAAAAAATGGCGAGACAGTCGGAAAAACTGAAGTAATGGGCCTCCTTTGCTTTTCTAGGCGACCTTAGCAACCATAAAAGACACTGAGAGCTTGCTAAGGACGTAAATGAGAGACTATGAGAACGAAGAGGGAACATTCGGAAAGACTGGCATTACGAGCCTCATTTCCTTGGACGAGAGGATGTAAGCATCACGTTGTATAGGCCGAAGTATCAAATAGGAGACCCGTCGTGCCGCGAGAAGGCAGAGATGCAGGTGGGTCAGTGGACGAGTCGCAGCGCGTACTGCGTCTCTGTTTTCGCGCGATGGGACTCCTGTCGAGTACCCGTATAGACAATATACATCTCAATTCGCTTCATATCAATCGAAACCTGAGGCGCTCAGCGGCGCTGGTGGGAAAGTCCTCGCGCTCATGTCCCGTACTCTCAAACTACATGAAAAGTTCATATTCTAGTTTCATGGATAGTTCTGTACTACTCGCGTAACCCATTCACCTAGACCTGGCTCACGCGGAATGTGCCTTAATGTGCTGAAGTGCAAATGAAAGTGAGGTAACACATAGCGCACATTCATTTTACATTATATTTTCATTATATCCCATTTGTATTTCAACAATTTGCAAGTCTTTTGCATAGCTGCCACTACGCATCGATTACTATTATAATTTTGCGCAAACTTGTACTCACACTTCTTGGAACTCTTCGGGAAGATTCCCTTCGCTCTGCTCAGAAGTTGGTGAAGCAGCTTCCTGATTGTCCTTTGGCGTATCTGCAAAATCATGGCCTAATA